CATCGTATCTAGGTTTGTCCATCCATGAACGAAAATAATTATAAGGATCGGAAGACATTATTGTTGGTATTGTTTGTAGTTTTGGTTTCATTACATGTGAATGGGGAGGGGGAGAATATATAGACGAAATTTCCGAGGGATTTCCCAGGGATTTCTGAGGACTTGTAAATTGCAACGGCTCCTCCAACGGATACATTAACGGTTTTGTTGCCGACAGTCCTGGAAAAGTCCTCGGAAATCCCTCAGAAAATTCAAAAAAGTCTGACGACTTTCCGACGGACGGGGATCCGTCGGAAATTTCAGGAAGATTTCTGAGGTACAAGTTTTCCTCGGAAATTCCTTGAAAAGTCCTCGAAAATCCCTCAGAAAATTCAAAAAAGTCCGACGACTTTCCAACGGACGGGGATCCGTCGGAAATTTCAGGAAGATTTCCGAGGGTTAAGTTTTCCTCGAAAATTCCTCGAAATTCGGTCGGAATTTCGTCGGAAATTTCCGAGGGAAAATTTTCCGTCGGAAAATCCGTCTGAAAGATACCCTCTTTCTTGTAGTGTATATCCGCACTTGCACAACTCTTATAGGCTAATGCAATGCAATTGGTAAATAGGTTGTAAAAGGATAAGCTCATCTCCGCCTCAGAAAGTTTTAGGCATAAGATTTCTGAGTCATCTTCTTCTTACTATTTTTAAATGATGTATATTTTGGTGTTATCATGCGGTTTGATGAGCAAAAGGATCAAGTAACAGTGGAGCAGGTTCTTCGGGTCATTTTCATCGATCCAGACCGCCCAAGTTCTGTGAGCTTTAAGTAAATTCTCATGCTGATATGACCGCATATACTATAAATTTCCTTAGTTTGAACCTTTCAATAAGGTGGATCACAATATACTTATCAGGCACTAGAGAAACTGAAGCGTCAACTGGATGAAGCTGAAGCTGCAGTTGAAGTAAGGAAGAAACCTCCACCAGGCCTCGTGTGGTCTGGAAGGGTCTTGTCATAGACGAATGAGTATGATACACATACAAGATATCCTCCGTTTTGTTATGTTTTTACTTTCTTGCTCCAATGCATTCCATTTTTTATCCACCGAAATTTGTATCGTCTGTCAGAAGGAGAGAAGGGAAAGTACCTTGCTCGACAACAAGTTGAAGCCATAGATTCACTCTTTTGTTTGTTTCATTGTAATTAATCAATGATCGAGTGCTTGTGGTTCTTCCAGTAGTATTTGGTGGCGTTTCACTCTCTTGAATTTGGGGATTTTCGATGTTTTTACAAGTGCGACGTTAAGTTCATTTGCAGGATCTTTGATAAAGTTGTTGTATTTTTCACGGCATGAAGACTATTCTAATGATGATGATAAGAGGAAGGGGACGATCAAGGAGAGATTGGGTATAACTAATGGGAACTTGAGAAGCTATCCTGTTCTTGGTGGGAGACTTCATTTTGTGAAGTTTGAGACTCACAAAATTAACGAGTGTTTGGATTTTATTCATTCAAAGCAACTTCATCGGCGAGGTATTGGCTTATCTCTTGTTCAGCGTCGAGAGCTGTGACTTTTGCACTGAATGCTGTGCTAACCAAAAGATTATGCTAAGTTGATGTGGTTTTGTCTAGTTTTAACTTTTGTAAATTTCTGTGAGTAGACTGGAGACTGATGTGATTATATGCCAAACTACTTGTGTGCAGTCAAAATGGTTACTGACAGTTTTGTTTCAACTGTTGTAAGATCAGTTTCTGGTGATTGACTGTTTAATTCGTCTTCTTCTCATTTGAATCAACGAATGGATCCTTATCCTTGGAGTTCGAAGACACTGCCTTTGGGAACTGGTGTTATCAAGGTAATGGCATTTTGATGACTTGGCTGTTTTACCTTTATCACTTTCGACGCTCCTTTTGGGTATATTTGGCTGGTTCTGTCATTTGAGGTACCCGAAAACATTTTAAATGCTCACAATCATTGTTTTTAGGTGAAACGTTTCATGTGTCTTGTTTATCCATGTAATGTGAATTGCCGATTTTGCCTTTAATATGTCAGGCATACGTATATCTTACAGGTCACAGGAGGCGGGGCCTATAAGTTTGCAGACTTGTTCAAGGAACTACTGGGCGTTAGTATTGAGAAAGAAGATGAAATGCATTGCCTTGTTTCTGGAGCAAATTTTCTGCTCAAAGTAAGACCTTTCTTATGCAACATTCCATCTAGGTTGTGTCTGCATATGTAGTTGTGCCTTTATTACTAGCATTTGCAAAACAGAAACGTAACGACAGGCTCTCATTATGCGTGACCAGCTAATTTAGTTTACTTTTTCTTTCTGGATCTGCATGTGTATGTTTGGATTTATTCTTATTTTCATGTTTTTCTGCAGGCTATTCGACATGAAGCCTTCACGCACATGGAGGGTGAGAAAGAATTTGTACGGATAGATCCCATTGACTTGTATCCCTATCTTCTTGTTAGCATAATCCAGCTATTTGTTTAGATTTGATATTTCTTCCACAAACTGTTGTGTGTTGAAGACCTCACACCAACTTTTTAAAGTATAGGTTGACGGGGAAGGAAAGTTTGAACGTGTGAGTGGGACTAATGTTGGTGGTGGTACCTATTGGGGCTTAGGAAGACTTCTAACGAAGTGAAAGAGGTTACTATGGATCTGATTTTGAATTTTGCTCTACTACTTGAGATTCTTGTTTCCTATATTTTACAATGTTTTCTTCTGTTTTAGTTTTGATGAATTGCTAGAACTCAYCCAAAAGGGAGATAATAGTACCATTGACATGCTTGTTGGTGATATTTATGGTGGCATGGATTACTCCAAGGTATGAGTCTACTTTTCATCGGACTACATCTTATCTCACTCACCCATTGAAGGATGAGTGATAAAAAAGATTGCTTTATCAAGACGTTTCTAGTGATTCTCATTATTCAACTATACAAATTGGCTTCTCTGCTTCAACAATAGCTTCTAGTTTTGGCAAGGCGATCCCTGAAAATAAGGAACTGGAAGATTACAGACCTGAAGATATTTCCCTGTCTCTTCTGTGGATGATTTCATACAATATTGGGCAGGTATGCATTTGTGTGTTCAAAGATTTCGAGGAAAACTTCTTGGGCAAAATAAACCCTTTTTCTCATTTTATCCCTAATCACAGGATGCCATTTGAGATATTTGATCACTGTATGCGATTAAGCACTTTATATGTTTTCTGATTTGTGTGTTGCCTATGTAGATATCATATTTGAATGCCTTTCGCTTTGGGCATTCAAATATGATATCATAGTCGGATACGTTGAGACTATTAAAGTGCACATATACTTGGTCGAATTTCTTTTGCTCGTGCTTTTTCTGCTCATTTGGCAAGGTTTGGTTCATCACATCAGATTCATAGTTATACTCTTTAAGAAGATCATTTTTTTTGGGTGCTTTTTCCTTTCGCTGACAATGATTTTGGTTGTAGATTAATGGAAGAGCCAGCTGCATATGGAAAGCTGCTGGCAAATCTATTGGAACTTAGGGAATAATTCTTAAGGGAATTCCAATTTGTTGATGCCTATGGAAGCATCAAGCAAAGGTAAAACATAGTCTTATCTCTCTCCTACTTCGAGTTTCTCTTATGCCCTCTTCTCTTTCTTCGAAACCGATAGGGAGAACGAGGCGTCACTTGCTATTTTACCTGATTTACTGGAGGAACTTGATTCAGTGAGCGAGGTCTATGATCTCTAACCTTCCTCTCTTTGTAGTTTTGTAATTCACGCCAGTTTTTACTCTTCATCAAATTTTGATTCGTTCAGTTTAATCGTATTCCGTTTCAATTGATTTAGGATTGAATCAAAGTAGTTCAGTTTTTAGTTTGGAATTGTGCCTCTGTACCACTACTGATTCTTTTGTATATATTTCTCCGTTTAGAAATGTAGCCTTCGATTGAAAATTGCATATCCACACAATGGATTGTTATCATTATTATAAACTGTTGGGCATGGGCTTTTAATAAAAGCCATTTTCATGAAAAGCCCGTTTCCCGAGTTCATCCCTGCGTTGCAGAGATTTGGCGAGCTCGTTCCAACGACTTGAAGATCGGCGAGTTAGGCCCAGTAGAACACAACCCAGGCCCAAAGAGGGCCCAGCCGCCTCTTGAAGAAATGACACCAGCACAAGTACCAAGAAAACCCTAGTACTTTACTCCCCTCTTTTTAGTATAAATAGGGTCTCCATCCCATGAATTGTCCGATCACTTTTCCACTTTTGGGCAAGTACAAGGGAATTTGAGAGCGAAGCTTTCAGTATTCTAACACCAAAAGGGGAAAGAACTTTCTGGCCGACCACTTCGCCCAGGAAAGTACAAGCTACTCGAAAAGACGGTTGAAAAGTGTTCGTACGTATCATCCGGACTCGATATTCTTATCGTTCAGTTACCGGCTCCGACCATCATTTGTTTCATTCAGGCTCAATACTCTTATCATTCAGTTACAGGTTCCGACCTCCGATTCCCCGAGCTCGTTACTGAGTTATCCGGTTACTTCAGTTACAGGTCCTTAACGACCCGATCTCGTTTTCAATTACTGGTCCCGACCTTGAAACGACCGATCTCGCTCGAAGGATATCACAGAAACCGTCCAGTTCCGTAGACAAGGTTCGTCAGTTCGACCCAAGCTTCCGAGCTCAAGACGCATTCTTTTCCTATAACCCTCTTTACGTTGTAATCCGTTTCCGAGTTAATATCAATAAACGAGAATTTCCGATCCATTTTACTGTTTATAAATTTATTGTCGAACTCACGGTTCAATAATTGGCGCGCCAGGAAGGGGGATTGAAATTTTCTAACGCACGATATGTCAGCTCGTCTTTATTTACCGTTTATATCGACCTCGCACCTCCTTACTTAGTCCCGAGCTACAACAAACA